GACGGGCGTCCGCAAATACGGGACGCCTGTCTAAACTTAATTTGTTTTAAAAAATAAAATAAAAAATTTGGACGCCCGTCCATAAATTGTGGACGAGCGTCCCTTAAGTTTGGACGGGAGTCCCTTAAGTTTGGACAGGCGTCCGTAACTAATGGACGCCCGTCCATTATGTATGGACGGCAGTCCACACTTAAGGGACGGTCGTCCCTTGTGTAAACATCAAATTTAAAATTCATGAAAATGTCAAGAAACTGGAATTTTCTTGACATTTTCACTCCGATCTCTTCAGCCACGCTTCACTCAGTTCAACGCCCTCCATTTCATCGTCATACTCCACTCTAAAAACTCCCTCTTCATCTTTCCTATGTTTCCCAGCCAGCTGATGAAGCTCTTCCAGAACAACCTTCAACCCGTCCTTGAGTTTCTCAACCATGGCGTCGAACTCTTCGTTACCCTTATAAAGAAGCAGCTTTTGGTTGTAGTAAAAAGCTAGATATGGAAGATCGAAGGTAATCAATTGGCATTCTCTTCTTCCTATTATCTTGCTGGGCTTGACGTGGGTTTTTCCGGTGACTTCACCTTCACTGTGTCTTGTGATTTCTTCTCCACTTCTTGGGTTGCCATTGTGACTGAGTTAAGGAGTAGTGTTGTTGAGATAGTAAAGATGGAAGAGATCGGATGAATTTTAAATTTTCAAAGATGGAATAGAAAAGGGAAGATACCCAGCTGGGGTTGTCTTCGTTTTGAGTTTCACTTAAGAGTTTGTTGGGTCAGTGCAAAGAAAAGAGAAGAAATAAAAGAACAACGAATGAACAAATTTTTAGTGTTATTTTCTCACCCAGCCGATATTCGATTGCCTTCAGACTATGCAACTTAATTCTTTACGGAACGCGCTCATCTTCCTCCACTTTTCACTTCAACTGAAATCATATAAAACAGTCCATTCTCCCTTAAGATACCTATCGTGGTGATGAGAGTATACTCATCAGAGCCAATTTCAGCAGTAGCAGCGGTAGTGGCGGCTGCTCCAAGCCATTCCCATTCAGAAAATCATGAAACTTTAGTACCATTACAACTATACCATCTGTCAAGATCTACGTACAATTCCATCAAAATTGATTAGGCAAGAGCTTGGTTCTCCTTGCATCACCTATTATCAGTTTCAGAAACATTGACCTTAAATACGCCATCCTCATTTTCACTGCCTGCCGCTCTCCGGTGTACATCCAGCAAGCCACCTCTATATGACATATAAACATTCAATATATCAATCAAAATTTAATTAAATAAGATAAATAGAGGTGAAAACAAAATTTGTCGTTACCTAGCCATGATGAAAACATAATTGCCACACTGAGATATACAAAATCCAACGAGTCTGCAACAAAAATAAGTTAGAAAGTTAAAGATGAAGTAATTTACAGATTCTTGAAGAATTTTGGATACCTTCGCAATTTTGTGAGAAGCTATTTTGGGGGCAAGATAAGCCAATCCAATAATATTGATCATCTTCCCGAAATATATAAAGAAAACAGGAACTGAAACCCTGTGAATAATTGCACCAATTGATCCCAAAGCCATTAACACACAGTCGTAAAAATCTGCAAATGTAAATAGTTTTAGCAACGAAACTCTGTTCGGCTTCTTCTCTTCTTCTTTCTTTTCCTTAGTAATCTTATCATCATCCCGGGTAACTAGCGTTCTCATTTTGGCCAAAACTTGTACTCAAACAAAACAAGAAGAAGAAGAATGAACTAGAATAGAATATGAGAGAGAAATATGGACGGGCGTCCATTAGTTACAGACGCCCGTCCAAACTTAAGGGACGCCCGTCCACAATTTATGGACCGGCGTCCAAATTTTTTATTTTATTTTTTTAAAACAAATTAAGTTTGGACGGGCGTCCATTCCTTATGGACGCCTGTCCAAACTTAACGGACCGTCAAAATTAAGGGACGACCGTCCACAACATGAACGGCAGTCCAAATGTTTTGCAAATTTTTTATTGTATTTATTATGGACGGGCGTCCTTTAAATGGGGACGCCCGTCCATGCGTCCATGTGAGTGAACGGCGTCCAAATTTGATGGATGGCCGTTCACTAGAAAAAATTGTAAAAAAATTCAGACGCGCATTACACGTAGGCTGGTACAGAATTTCAGTGCAACTTTTTTGGTGTCCGTAGTGTATTGGTGCTGACTCTTTGGTCATTACTTGTAAAGTTTTGTTGCGATGAGTTGGCCAAATTATAGCTAGGGGCGAAAAGCCCATGTCAGATGACCCGGGTCAATTTTTTCAAAAAAAAAAAAAAAAAAAAAAATGTTAAAAGAGTAAAGTGAGTTGTTGGATTTTAATATATTTTGGGCTCTTGAGTCTAGGGCTGTTTTCGAGCCGAGCTGAGTTTTCGGCTAAACGAGCTCGACTAGTTAAGGGAGGAGGCGAGTTCGAGCTGAGCTGAACGAGCTGCTGATTTCTTGGCTCCGCTCGAACTCGTTAAGAGAGAAGAGATTTCGAGCTTGGCTCGCAAGGTGGTTTAATGAGCCTAGTTTGAGCTGGCTCGCGAGTTAGCAAGTACATATACACAAGTGCAATACATCCGCTTTGCATTAGAAATATATACAAAACTAAACAAAGTTATGTTTCGAAGCCATCAAAATTGACCCAGATTCATCAGTCACATGCTGCATCTTCCATCCTAATCGTTTCATGCAGTGGCTTTCATTTAGATTAAAAAAAAACTTACTAAAAGTTGGAATCAAAAGGCATTGGCGACGAGATTGATAGCAGGAACAATAGGCAACTCCAACACGAGCGCGACAACGAGAATTAGGCGGTGACAACAATAACCAGACGACGATGACAACAATAAAAAGGCACAACAGTGGGTGACGGCAATGATGATAGCGTGGTGTTGGGCAACGGCGACATCGTGGCATTGGGCGATGGCGACAGCCTGGTGGTGGATTGGGTTTCAGTGTTTCACGGCGAGAGTTGAAAGGGTAGATGGAGTATTCGACGCCGACAACACTCAGGCGAATCAGATGGTATCAACGACGATGACGAAGCACACCAAAGACGGCTGGAAAATCAGTTGAAAATTGCATGGGTTTGGTTTTTTAGGGGCAAAGAGGTTATGTCGACAATTTTAGGGATTTTAAAATCAGGGGGTCTTTGTCATTTTTTAGAACTTTTTGTATTTGAAATTTTAGTTTAATCTCCTATACTTTAGAAAACCCTCAAAAAACCCCCACTTATTCGAGGCAGGCTCGAACTCGGCTCGTTCTCTCTCACAAACAAAGCCGAGCCGGCTTGAAACCATATGAACCAAGCTAGACTCGAGCCGAGCCGGCTAGCGAGCGGCTCGGTTCGTTAACCAGCCCTATTTGAGTCTGTGTGTTTTATTATTTTAGATAGGATTTAAATATCCTTTGTTTCAATATTATATCCCTATCATATTTTACTATTATATCCTAAAAACTCGAAATGTATTTGTTTCAATATTCTCAAAATCTTATTCTACTTTATTCATCTCCAAAACATTAATAATTACATTTCTCGTGAAAATAACCCAATTTTACTTTTTTTTTTTCAAAATACTATTCTAAAAATTATCAAATAATGAACCAAATGAAGCCTAGGGGGTGCGTTTGTTTCCCTTTTTTTACACTATCCTATTCCTATTTTTTTCCAAAATACATATTTATTTCCCTATTTTGAAAATCCTATTTTATTTTATTTAATTATTTTTAAACCTCCTGGGTTTGTTAATTTAACTAAACACAAAAAAAAAATTTAGAAATTGACAAAAACACCCTCACCCACCCATATTTGCCAGATTCTGGCCACCACCGTCATCAGGTGGCCAAAATTTGGTATAATGGCGTACTACTGGCTGGATCTTGCCGGTAGTGCACCGATCTAGCTAGGCCAGATCTGATCTACGGCCAAAGATTTGGAAATTGACTGCCAGATCTTTGTCAGTAGCTAGTTGTCAACGACGACCAAGATATAGCCGTCGTTGACGACCAAACGCAGCCAGATCTGGTCCTCAACAGTCAGATCTAGCTGTAGATCTGACCTTTTCCGACTATATCCATGATGAATCTGGTTGAAAAATGTCATATCGGTGCACGACTGGCCAATACGGCCACCCTCCGGCGATAGTGACCGGCTGTTGGTATTTAATGGGTGGATGGGGGTGTTTTTGTTAATTTTTAATGTTTTATTACAGGGGTGTTTAGTAAATTAACAAACCTAGAAGGGAATTTTTGTTAATTTTCAAATCTTACCTCGTAATAACCACCCAACTGATGTGTTTGTTTTATTATTTTGAGTTGTATTTTTGAAAAAGTTAATTTGGGTTAATATTACGAGGTAATATTTGAATTTGAAAATGTGTCTGTAAGATTTGAATTTGAAAATGTGTTTGTTAAGATTTGAATTTGAAAATGTGTTTGTTAAAATTTGAATTTGAAAATGTGTTTGGTAAGATTCTCTTTTAATTCCTATATTTGTTAATTTAGTTAAAAACCCTCTACAATAAAAGTTTTAAAATTAACAAAAACACTCCCACTCACCCATTAAATACCGGCAACCGGTAGTCAGCTGTTGGGAATATGTGGGTGGGTTGGGGTGTTTTTGTCAATTTATATATTGTTGGGGGTATTTAGTTAAATTAACAAATCTAGGGGTTTTAAAAAAGTTGAATAAAATAGAATTGGATTTTCAGAATAAGGAAACAAATATGTATTTTGGGTAGGATAAGGATAGGATAGGGTAGAATCGTTTATTTAGTTATTTGGAGTAGTACTTTTGAAATATTATTTTTAGGAAGAATTTGGTGGTTATTACTAGACCTGGCAAACGGGCGGGTTGGGTGGGTATGGTCCGGGTAACAGCGGGTCACGGGTGAAAAAATCTCACGGGTCGACGTTTTCATGATCCGTACCCGCCCGTGCAGGTACGGGTCACCCGTGAAAATTTATTTTTCTACAATCTACTTCAAATCACAGTCTCTCTTTCTCTTTCTCTCTCGCTTGGGGAAGAAGAGACATCAGCAGACTCAGAATCTGCTGCAGGAGAAGTTTGATTCTGAGTTTGATTAGATTTAGGATCGGAATCCCCACTTCTCCTACCACTATTAAAAGAAAAGTTGACCCAAACCTCTCTCCTTTGCTTATCTCTCTTGTAACCAATTTCATCTTCATCAACAGGCATCTTGTATCTACAAACAAGACACGACCCATGAATCCCAAGCCACTTCTCTATATACTTACCGTGAAACCTATGCTTACATGGCATCTCTTTCCCCATCTCACCAACCTCATACTCTTCTAAACACACTACACACTCACCCATTTCCCCTTCTTTTTCATCTTCACTATCACCAATCTCGAAACTCCGCATAGCCTCCACAGACGCCTTGGAAGCTGGCGGTTGACCATCTTTGGATACTAAGTTCCTCATCAAAGAATCCAAACTTGACGTTCCTTCAATCACCACCATTCCTTGAGTCAAAGGGTTAATTAGAATAATTCTCTCACTCGAATTCGTATTTGTTTCTTGATCTGTGTGTTCAGGATTACTCTCTCTCGTGGAGATGTTACCCGTGAAACCCAAAATAAAGGGAAGAAACAAAGACATATCTCTGTGCCTCAAGAGTCGCTCAAACAAAGAAGAAATCTCAGGAGTTTCAGCTTCAGAGGCCATGGCAGCAAGCGAAAAATCAGAGAAGTGAAGAAAGCTTGGAGAGAAATCTGAATAAGTGAATTATGGAATTGTGGGGAGAGAATTGGAAAGGAGATATAAGGTAGCCCACAGGAAGAGAGGAAGGTTGTGGAAAGATCTGGAATACCGAGTGATAAGTTTTATTTTTATTTTTTTTAAATTTCAAATTTGCGGGTCCACGGGTACCCGCGGGTAGTACTCAGTCCATCCGCAAAAGTCACGGGCGGGCCGGGTACGGGCAGATTCTCACGGGTCAAAATATGTGTTACTCGTACCCGCCCGTTGGGTACAGGTACCCGTTAACCCGCGGGTACACCCGCCTGTTTGCCAGGTCTAGTTATTACGATGTAGGATTTGAAAATAAAAAATAGTTGAATAATTTAGGATAAAATTTTAAAAATAGAGAAACAAATATGCATATTAATTTGGAATAAGAATAGGATAGGGAAACAAGCACGTTTGTTTAGTTATTTGGAGTAATATTTTTTGAAATATTATTATTAGGTAGAGTTAGGTGATTATTTGAAAATTAAAATAGTTGAATAATTTATGATAGGATTTTGAAAATAAGGAAACAAATATGCATTTTGATTTGTAATATGAATATGATAGAGAAACAAAGACAACATTTTTCTTCAATTTCAACTTAATTAGGCTTTTTTTAAAATGGAAAGTGGTTTTTAGCCTCATAAAATTGATCAATAGCTCTCATTGCTAAATACACATTTATTATATTAAAAAAAAAATATTTTTTAAACTCTAGTTAATATTGAAAATATCTTAATTATGTTTAATTAGGGTTTTTATTCGCACCCCCTTTTCTCCAATTTCAACTTAATTAGGTTTTCAATCTTTTTTTTTTTTCCTAATTTCAAATTTGAAACTTACTTTTTCTTTTTCAAATTCAGATTCATTCCGTTGTTTGATTATTTTCTCTATAATTTTAATAATATATTTTTATCGAACAAAGAAATATTTGAAATAGAAAAAATGTTTCAATGATATAGAAGTTTTAGAGTTAGGATTTATGATTAAGAATTAAAGAAAAATATAAAGTAGAGTATAAGTACATCTAGAAATTATTATGTCATTTTGTAATAATTTTCATTAAGGTGAAAATTGTTAAAAAAAAAAATTAAAGTAGTGGATGTTGATCAATTTGATGGGGATTAAAAATCACTTCCCTATTAAAATATAATGGTGTTATTTAAACCTCGTCCAAATTCTTTGTAAGCCCCTTTAATCAATTTTTTTTTTAAAAATTAAAATTAAATATTAAACTAAAATTACCATAAAAAAACTCATTATCAGCTGATATGACAAGTTAAATCTTAATGTTATTATAGTTCACATAATTAAATTCTTACATGTTTGTCCCCAAATCCTCTTGATTACAAACTTATTCAAAATATATAGTTGAATTACTCTTACTTTTCTATAAATTTGTAATGAAATTCATATATATTTGAATTTTATTAGTTTTTATTAAAATTGGAGCTTAGAAAGTGATTTATTGGAGCTCAAATAACGACACTCTTTAAATATATTTAGACTTCTAATATTCTAAGTTTTATAAAATTAGTCATATTTTATGTTTATTAAGTAAAAGAATTTTATGAAATGAGTATGAAAATCTTTGAATGAATAAGAATTTGGAGGACCATTGCTTTGATGTTGATAATTGAGCAACCTTCTTTTATCTAATGGTATTAAAGGAGTCTACATCTTTAGCCATATTTTGAGCAAGAAATAAGAGATTTAATTCCTTTTTAATTCCTGAGATTTCATCAGTTTACTATTGTTTAAATACTAGAGTTTTGATCTTTCTCATTTCAATATATATATATATATACACACTTTATTAAAGTTTAGTTGATTGTTAAATTTATAATAAAATGACAATACTTCTTTTAGAAAAAAAAAATAATAATAATAAGAGAGAGAAATTATTTACTCAAACAACACTGAATTAAATAAACACATTACACATCTTTTTAAATATATTTTTGCCAATTGTTATTTTAATATAATTTTAACAGTCAACTCACCTTTTTATTGAGTCAAAAATGACAAATACAATAGTATTTTGAAATAATAAAGACCAAAATCTAGTATTTGAAACGATTATCCTTAAAAATAGTAAATTGAAACCATAAAAGACTAAAAAAGAAATAACTCAAAATCAGAAGCATTCTTTTCTTTACATGTGAGGCCTATTATTCCACTCTTTCCTAATGCTTTTCTTTTTCTTTTTCTAAAATTTATTAAAGTAAAATGTATAAAAAAATTGTATAATAGACAAAATGTTGCGAGTGATTTGCTTTTCATTTCTTTGCTAATTGATTTTTTTTATTATAGCAATTTACTTTTCCCCATCCCCACAACTTGGCTTCTATCATACCTAATTTATGGTCCACTCCCTTTCTTTGTTCTAACATTGAGACCCTACTCATTTATATTTTGAATTACATTACCATTTAGCTCTTTCTTTTCTTTCTACAAATCCTACACCGAATCATGTGAGGTTTGTCTCCAGTGCATAATCTACTCCCAAATTAATTTGAGTTATCTTCAATAATTATATAGTTCTATTTTAACTTGTATTTGATTTAATCTCAAAATAAGATTAAACAAAATAATTAATTGTCATTTAAATCTACAAAAAAAAAAAAAAAAAAAAAAGATTAATACAGTATGAGAGAAGTAATTATTAAAATTTTAATAAAACAATGGTTGTTTTGAAAATATATGGAATTTATTTAGATATTTTAATAATTTTGAAAAGTTTTAATAGAATATTTTCAGAAGTAAAGTCAAATTAGATAAAATATGGAGGGCAAATAGCATCACTCTTAAGATTTATTAATAGTTAAATATTAATCAGTCTTAATTTTAAAAAGTAACCATAATTTTTATTTTTAGATCTAGACGCTTCATATATAGATTTATACTCATCACAAAAATCCCCATGATAAGTCTACTTAATAATTAATATACTTATAAAATATGATCACTATTAACTTATATAAACAATTAATCATGTCACGTTTTATTTCTAGTTTAATTCGAAATATAGTTTGGAAAGCACACTGGATCAAATTTTTGAAAGCAAAAATACTGAACATGTTTCACTGATTTTGATATTTAAACAAGTCTGTTCTTGTATCCTAACAATTAACATAATAAGTTTAATTTATTTTTAAATGAATAGAGAGATACAAAAACCAAAATAACAGTAAACACACAAACCGCAAGCAGTAAAACGAAAGAACAAATACGTGCAATTTTAACTTGGTTCACCCAATTAATAAGTATGTCCAACTGAGTCAATATTATTGCAATATTGCCCCATCTCTCTCATTTACAATGAAAGTAATTTGTTTTATTGTTTGCTATCACTTATTACAAGAGAAAAATATATTTATATACTAGGTTTAAAAGACTAAAAAACCTAGTATTACCCATTAATGCTGAAGTGGTTGACAACTCCAACAAGATCTACACCAACTAGAGATACTCGATTGATCGCTTTAGAACCTACCAAGATGGGTGTGTGACTTCAGGAAGTCAACAGAGAAATATACGTTAACACATGATGGATGAGATTGGGACAAATGTCCTGAAAAATGATGCGAGTATAGGACCCTTTTAAAGTGTGTTGAATATTTTTGTTAAACTTATATATATTGTGTATGTGCACTACAGTTGTGCATGTGCACATGTATGTCAGACATTTGCATGTTTCAAATTTTTTCACATTTTATCTTTGAGTGTGTACACACTCTTCTTTCGTGCTAACATCGCATGTCTGACTCACTTTGACAGATGTTGCGTTTTTTACTTAACAGCTAAGATATTTTCTTTGCATCTTTTGTGTTATCATTTGGATCACTTACAAGTGTCCCAATATCCTTTAGTGGTCTAGGGAAAATCAGCATTTTTCCCCTTTTGGTTGTGGTCCAAAACTAAAGCTGAAAACATTAATATTTTTGGACCAACACATGTTAGCCTTTGTCCGCTGACCTGGCTAGAATTGGAGTGCACGAATTTGGGTTTATCCTCTCCATTCTTGCAACTTTGTTTGGCTAACCTTTTATGTTTTTTTTTTTTTTTTGCTTTGTCATCTGAAACATTCAGAGAGTTTATTTCTTAAAGGTTCCCCATATGTTTTTCTGCCAAACACTTATCATCCTTCATCTTTGTTGAGCTAAAAGGAAGTTCACCTTCTTCCTTGTTTTTTTTTTTTTCTTTTTGAACCTGAATATCTATTTCGTTGGTGCTCTGAACTTTTTAGAGAGTTGTTCTTGGTTAGGTTCTTTTATATGGGTTTGTGCTAGAAACTTTCTTGTTTATCTTCATTGTTGAATGGCGGCTGGAACGTGGTTCTTTTGCTGATGTTGGAGCGTGTCTTCAGCAACTGAAGCTTGGCTGGAGCTTAAGCGTGTTCTAGGAGTGAACCTAGTGTGAAGAGATCCATGGAACAACAAGACATTAGAGATTCAAAGGGTGGTGTTTAGTGTATCTAGAATAGAGAGTTCTTTTTCCTGTAGCTAAATCAACTTTGAACTATATCTTGTAATTTTTGTTGATTAGTGGATTTGCTTCAATCTGGATGAGATCCTATGGATGTAGGCTAAAAGTGGATTTAGTTGAACCATGCATATGTTGGTGTGCTTTACATTTATAGCTTGTTATTATTATTGATTTGTTGTAAACCTGACTGTGTTAACACAACTTGGTAAATCATTCTGTTGCATATTTAAAAATGGATACCTAAACGTTAAATAGAGTTCATCAACTCTAACAAAGTGGTTCAATCGGAGAAGAAACAAAGCCTACATCCACTGATACTTCATTTATTTTTGGATAAAAGTCAACAATAATGAGAAGCCCCCCTATTTTTCCGTCCTTTCTACTTATAAGGAGTACCGAGGGTGTCATGATGGCAGGTATGTCAACCAGGTCGTCATTGTTTAAATGGAGGACGG